ATATATATTTCTTTATTTGATTTTTTAAATATAGGAAATAAAACTATTACCAGATTGTAGATACAGAATAATTATCCATTTACGTGCAATAAACATTAATATTTCAAGAAATATGATTTTAAGTATAATAATGTTACATGCAATAAACATTAATATTTCAAGAAAAAAAGATTTTTAATATTACCAAAACTGTACTAAACATAGTATAATATCACAAAAGTTGTAGGAAATATTAAAAGTCTGTAAATAACAGGATTACTTCAATTATATTCTAACATATTTTTTTCTTCTGGCTCTGTTTTTATATCGAGTTTATGTTAGGTATTCATTATAGTCCACAAATGAGTGAGATCAAGTGATATTTATCTTTCTCCAACTGGCTTATTTCACTTAGCATAATGCTCTCCAGATCCATCCATGCTGTTACAAATGATAAAAGTTCCTTCTTTTTTACAGCAGCATAGTATTCCACTGTGTAGATGTATCAGTTTTTTAATCCATTCATCTGCTGATGAACACTTAGGCTATTTCCAAATCTTAGCTATTGTACATTGTGCTGCTATGAACATAGGGATGCATATATACTTTCTGATTGGTGTTTCTGATATCTTTGTATATTCCTAGAAGCGGGGTTACTGGGTTAAATAGGAGTTCCATTTTTAATTTTTTCGGAAAACGCCATACTGTTTTCCAGAGTGGTTGCACCAGTCTGCATTCCTACCAGCAGTGTAAGGGGGTTCCTTTTTCTCCACATCCTCACCAGCACTTGTTGATGGTAGTCATTCTGACAGGTGTGAGATGGTACCTCATTGTCATTCTGATTTGTATCTCTCAGATGTTCTCTTTTTGTTGGTGTTTTTTTGTATTTTGTTGTTTTTTTAGAGAGAGAGAGGAAGGTAGCGGGCAGAGAGAGAAAAACATCAGTGATGTCAGAGAGAATCATGGATCAGCTGCCTCCTGCATGGTTGAGATTAAGCCCACAACCCAGGCATGTGCCCTAACCTGCTGGGGTCCAACCCCAGCAGGTCCAGGGGTCCCCAAAGGTGTGGACAGAGTGGGCGAAGAAGAAATGACACGGAGACAGCGTTCAGTTGATCAGCAGCCTTGCCAGGATCTCTAGCCACAATCTCCAGCCAAGTTCTGTGTCCATGTTCTCTTGCTAGGTTCTCCAGCCAGGTTCTCTAGGTTCTCCAGCCAGGTTCTGTAGCCATGTTCTCTCGCTAGGTTCTCCAGCCAGGTTCGGTTTAGGTTCTCCAACCAAGTTCTGTAGCCAGGTTCTGTCCAAGATCTTTTGCCATGTTCTCTCCAGTGAAGTTCTTCTGTCTCTAGGTTCTGTGTAGGTTCTGTCTTCTAAGTTCTGTGTCTGTTTATCTTCCTTTTGTTAAGTTGTATAAGTTCCCTATAAAGTTTGGAAATTAAACCCTTATCGGAGATAACATTGGCAAATAGGTTCACCCATGCAGTGGGATTTCTTATTGTTTTGTTGATGGTTTCTTTTGCTGTGCAGAAGCTTTTTATTTTGATGTAGTCCCATGTGTTTGTTTTCTCCTTAGGAGCTGTACCAGTGGAAATATTTCTATGACATATGTCTGATATTTTGCTGCCTATGGATTTTTCTAAGATTTTTATGGTTTCCAATCTTATGTTTAAGTCCTTTATCCATTTGAGTTTATTTTTGTGTATGGTGTAAGTTGGTGGTCTAGTTTCATTTTTTTCAATTTTCCCAACACTATTGAAAAGACTGTCTTGACTCCATTGTATGCTTTTGCCTCCTTTGTCAAATATTGAGCATAATGGCTTGGGTCGATTTCTGGGTTCTCTGTTCTGTTCTATTGATCTATCTATCTGTTCTTGTGCCAGTACCAGGAAGTTTTGAAAACAGTGGCTTTGTAATATAGCTTGATATCTGGTATTGTGATCCCTCCAACATTGTCCTTCTTTCTCAGGATTGCTGCAGCTATTCAGGTTTGTTGTTTTTTTTTTTTATTGCAGATGAATTTTTGGAGTTTGTTCTAGGTAGGTGAAATATTCCATTGGTATCTTAATGGGGATTACATTGAATCTATAGATTGCTTTGTGAAGTATAGACATTTTAATGATGTTGATTTTACCAATCCATGACCACGGTTTATGTCTTCCTCTAC